TCTTCTTCTTCTTCTTCTTCTTCTTCTTCTTCTTCTTCTTCTTCTTCCTCCTCCTCCTCCTCCTCCTCCTCCTCCTCCTCCTCCTCCTCCTCCAAATGGCCTCACCTTTGTACTTCTGGGCCAGCCAGGAGGTGACATCTAGATTTTATAAAAAGTTTGGACTTCTACCATCGCTGTCCTCCAAATTCACAAACCTTCTACATTTATTACAATGTACAAAAGTAGAAAAAGGAAAAAAAAAAAAAGCCCGTTGGGATCATCCCACAGGCCAGTTCTGGAGCGAATCTGGTTCTCCAAACCACGAAACTAGAAGAAGCACACGGGGTGGAGGGGATTGTGACGATTTTTGAATGAAAATTTCCTGAGAATTTTTCCCTCCCTGAAGTCCCTTGCAAACAAGAGGCCTGCTGAGAGCGGTGGCGCCACCTGGTGTCCAGAAAGCGGTTTCTCTCCCAGGGAATCGGACCTAAATCCTCGCTCGGAGGGGAACTGGAAGAAATCTATTTATTGCCGCTTGATCCAAAATAGGGAGGGGAATTTTTCTCTTCATGGAAAAATAAAACGGTACAGGGGAAAAAAAAAAACGAGGGGCAGCCATATACCCCCAATTCTCCTGCAGTTGGGGGAGAAAAAAGCCATCCCTGGAAAAGTTTTCGCTTCTGAGCTCCTGAAAAACGTCCGGTTGAAGATGTTCAAACTTCACTCGGATTTTGGGCCAATTTTTCAAAAGGCAAAGGGGTTGTTTCATTCAGAGCCTGTATTTCCCACCGAGGCTTTGCTCCTCGCTATTCAAGCACCGCTGGATTTCCTGGGAAATCTCCTTCCGCTTCTGCTTCTACTCTTTTCCCTCCGTGGGGCGGCCCCCGAAACTTATCCTCCTTAAGGAACAAAGTTATCCGAACAGCAAATGGATCCGTAGGTGATGGAAGCTCCTTCGGTTGTATTCCTCCCCGTAGGATTCAGTTCTTGGGTTTCGATGTCCGGAGAAAGGCAAACTTGTTTTTCTTTTTTTCGTTTTCCTGGGGGCTCCGAGACACACCTGCAGGGAAGAAATAGCTTCTTAAACCATTTATCAGTTATTACATTACGGCCGCAGCTAAAGACGGTTAGGGGACTGGAGGCGGAAACATACGACGAATGCTTGCAGGAACTGGGCCTGGCCAGTCTAGGGAAGGGAAGGACCAGGGGAGACAGGAGAGCATCTTCCAATATTTGAGGGGCTGCCACAGAGAGGAGGAGGGGGTCAAGCTATTCTAAGCCCCCAAAGGCCAGATAAGGAATAATGGATGGAAACTGATCAAGGAGAGATTCAATTTGGAAATAAGGGGACATTTTCTGACCATGAGAACAATCAACAGAAGTTGCCTTTGGAAGTTGTGGGAGCTTCATCCCTGGAAGCTTTCAAGAAGACACTGGACTGCCATCTGTCAGAAATGGTGTGGGGTCTCCTGCTTGGGTGGGTGGGGGTTGGACTAGATGACCTACAAGGGCCCTTCCAACTCTGTTAGTCTGTATTCCATTCAGATAGTTCTCGGCTTACGATTGGCGACCGTTTGAAGTTACAGCAGCGTGAAAAAAAGTCACGATGGTAGCTTTACGATAAAAGCAGAACTCTTGACCCAAATGGCTTTGTTGGGTCGAGACTCACCAAACTTCTTGATCATGTCAACGAATATCTCGTCTTCTTCCAGCTCCCTAGAGAAGGAAGCAGAGTAGATAGTCCAACACCTGAAACAGTACTAAGTCCAGATGTTGAACTAGACATCCCAACATCCTTCTCCTACATTCTACTACGCTTCCTTCTTCACCCGTTCAAAAAGCAGACCTGAAAACGCTGTTCATTTTAACTCACACACATACACACACACACACACACACAATCATAAACAAAGCTAGTTCAGAGTTTTAGGAGAAAGAAGGCACCCACCCCTGCCAGATAAGCGAACAGCTTCCTCGCACAGTATTCACAGCCTCATATGCCCAGTGGAACTCCTCCTCACAATTAGCAACGTAACTGCATCCAGAAACTACCGACAATCATCCCTAATTACTCCAAGATACTTGCCAAAAAGCCAGACCTATGAACCTTGTTTGGCAGAAGGAGCTTCTACCGTTGACCATCCCTTGAAGAAACGGGGGAAATTGTAAACTGCAGGGGAAGCGATCGTTTCTTTCAGCCGAGTTCCCCAACCGTGGCGACTTTAAGATGTGTGGACTTCCAACTCCCAGAATTCCCCACCCAACCTGGCTGGGAGACCAAGGGCCAGTCAAGGGCTGTGCCTCCAGTCCTTCTGGCCTTCCTTCACCCCTTCATACCTGAGTCTGTCCTCATCCAAGTCTTCTACAATTTTGTTCCGATTGTTGACCGTGTCCAAATACGAGTCAAGGAGTTCCTTCTCTCGAGTCTTCTCCTTCGGGGTCTTCAAGTAATCTGGACGCCGGGGGAAGAACCAGAATTATATGTTAAAAGAATAGTGTCAACTCGTAAAGCACTCCTATGCCTGCTTTAGAGGTGCAATAAATGGGGGGAAGGAAATCTGAACGAAGCGGGACGGCAGTTTAAAACCAGAAGTACATTCCACACTTATCTTACAAAGTTTGTAACTAAGCTACTGGATCTTCTGCCCAGGAAAATCCTTAATTGGAGAATGTGATTGATGACACCCAGCCCGGTGAACGTGCTCAATTGGAGAATCTGATTGATGACACACCGGGGGGGGGAGGGGGGAAACAGGGTCATAGGTGAATTACGTGTCTCAGAGTTGGCTTCCTACAGGCTAATGCCATACGCGTTGCTCCTAATAAATCTTCTGGATTCTTTCGAAGCTTGGCTCGAGGCTCATGATTTGATTGGGGCAATCTCCGGAATCCTGACAAATAGTAATCCTGACATAAAACAGCAAAAGGCTCTGCCCCAAGGGTTGTGTAGAGAACTATGGGTTCTTCCCAACTTGAGGAATCACAGCGATAAAGGATGTCAAGAAGGGAATGGATGGGATACTCACCGGCTTTGCCAATGAGAGCGCGTAGTTCGGTCTCGATATCCCACTGCTTTAATTCTAGTTTCTGCTGGTTTATCCTGCAGGAGAGAAACGTTACTTTAAGGGATTCAAATTCTCACGCAGGACCGGTCCAAAATTTTGGAGCCCTCCTGAACAGATTGCTGGAAGGATCCTACTACATCTTTTTCTTAACTATGTTTTTTTTAAAAAAATATTTTTAGCAGGAAAAGAAATAAAGGATGTCCTCGTTTAGCGGCCACAAGGGACTGGCAACTTGGTTGTTGAACAAAGTGGTTGCTAAGCGAAACTTATGACTTCTGCTTGCCTTTTGCTTTGCAGATCTGCAAAGGTAATAAAAGAGAGGCCTGTTTTTTTTCAATGTCGACACTGCAAATTGTTGCTAAATAAGGCAGTTGCTAAAGGAGGACTGAAAATGGTCACTAAACCAGGCAGTCGCTAAAGGAAGACTACCTCTAATGAGTAATGAGCCCTAGTTATGGTCTGTTGGGTTTAAAAAGGCAGCCCAAATCCTATATAGCTGGCAACTGGCTGCGCAGACGCCACGAACTGGCCAGTTTCACTCACTTGTGCATCAACTCGGATTCTCGTCTCAGCAAGATCTGCTTCTCGTGGATCAGTTTGAACCACTCCACCATCAGGGCATCTTCGGAATCATCTGTACACGAGATCCAAGAAAGAGGTCAAAGGATCCATCCATTTCCAGAACAGGTAGGCCAGGTGAGAAATAAAAAACCCAGCACCTGCACCTCTGCCGATGGGGGGAAAAAAACCGCCTACTTTGCAAAAAACTTCCCCTAATCTTGTTCATTATTAAAGAAGGAAAAGGCAACAAGCCATGTATTCGGACTTTCCGGGCCTCCATGAGGACTAGACACCTGGATGTTTTCAAATCTCTTTTCAAAAGAAAACCACCTTTGGGCTTTTATCCATTTAGCCGGGGCTTCCTTACCTCCCTCACAAGCCCGCAGCTGCTTCTCCAAGGTTATCCCCTTCCGCTCCAGCTTGTCCAGATCTCTTTCAATCTGCCGGATTTCCTTCTGGATCTCCTCCTCGGGGACGTAATCCGGGTGGAGCTGAAAGGCGTCAGAGACAACGCGGTTCACCACCCAGAAGCTCACAGCAGAAAGCAGAGTGTTTAGCCTCCCAACAACCCTGCAAGGTAGGCCGGCATCTCGACTGGGAGCAGGGGTAGGATTCTACCGGTTCAGCCCGGTTCGTATGAATCGGTAGCTCCAAAGATCAGCTGGGGGTGAATCGGTTCGCTCCAAAGATCAAGGTATTTCCTTTTTTTTTCCCCCACCGATCAGCTGTTTTCCGAAGATCAGCTGTGCCGCACGATTTAGATCAGCTAGAAAGCAGGAAATAATCGCGCGGCACAGCTGATTCCCCCCCCCCCATATTGCTTCCTTCCCTGAGGCCCAGGAGGCAAAAATAAATAAAAATTAAAAAATCACGCCCACCCAATCACATGACCACGCCCACCTAGCCACGCCCACCAAACCGATAGTTTAAAAATTCGCATCCCACCCCTGGCTGGAATCCATAGCCTACCTTGATGGGAGAGACCACTGGATCCCTCGGAGTCTTCCAGAAGGTTCCAAGAGAGGACGGTTGGGCTGGAAAGAAAAGAGGGGAAGATTCAGTTGCTGTCTGAGGGCCTTCCAGGGGTTGCCTGGAACTACAATTCCCAGTGTCCCCCAGCAATGGCTCTCCTAGCTGGGGCTGATGAGAACTGTAGTTCATTGATGTCAGATATTCAGCGTCTGGTGGAAACGATGAGAGAAACTGACCGGTCGCAACGACTGTTTTTGATGGGCTCCATTTCTCTGCTTTGGCCGGGGTTGGCTGAGACTCCCACAGCACCTTCCCTTTCTGCCAGCTGTTGGAGATATCCAGAGGTGGCACCAACAGCTTCTTCTTCTGGGGTTGGACAGCCAGTGGTGCTATCATGGGAAGAGAGAGAGAGAGAGAGAGAGAGAGAAAACCCAACTTATGAGCCTGGACTTGAGTTCAAATTCACATTTCAGCTATCCCGATGGGCGAGATCCTTCTTGTTGAGGATGTGGCCAGGATTGGACAAAGTGACCACAGATAGGGGCCAAACAGGCAGGCCAAAATAGAGGAGACCGAGCTCTCGAGAGTTCTCTCCCCCCCCCCCCGTTCATGAGGACTAGCATCTTCCTTGAAAGGTTTTGGAAGCCCGAAGGGGAAATGAATTCTCCAGATCTTGTCAAAGCAGGTCTAGTCGTACCAGAATTGGGAACCGCCGGGGAGAGGACAGAAAGAGACGCCTTGTTGTCGTTCAGTCTTGGTTTCACCTGTATGTTGATCTCCACCTCCGAAGGTTTTGGGGAATGCTTGGCTTCGTCCTGGCGGGGGAGTCTGCAGAGAAGGAGAGAGGCTGTTGGCACGGAAGGGGCCCCCACCACCCCCGCCACCATTTCGTGCCATGAGAGGCAGAATTTGGCAGCCCCACACCGGACTCTGCAAATCAATTAGAATCAAAAACAGGGGAAGCCTCCAGAAATTGTTAAATGCTCCAACACTGGTAGTTTTTAAGAAGACATTGGAGAGCCATTTTGTCTGAAATGGTATAATATTTCCTGCCTGAGCAGAGACTGGACTAGAAGACCTCCAAGGTCCCTTCCAACTCCAATAAACTATATTCTATATTTTGTTCGTACCGTTTTATAAATCCTTAGTAAGGCCACACCTGGAATGCCACATCTAGTTTTGGTCACCACAAATTACAAAACAAGAGGCTGAGACTTTGGAAAAAACGCAGAGGAGAGCAACTAAACCTGCTATATTTTGCCTTCCCTGTTTTTTTAGCACTCACTTGACCGGTTTCAGCCTTGATCTCCAGTCTTCCGGGCTCTCCAATTTCTCTTCTGCCTCCCAGGTGCCTTTCGCTGCATGAGAAACATGCAAAGGAGGGTGAAGCGTAAGCCAGCATTCAAGGTTTGCACTCCTCCTCCTTCCTCCTGAGTCCCAACCACCAAGCGGAGTGAAGGGAATGACGGGGCGGAGGTGCCAACCACACCGATTTTGCAAAAAAGTATGCAGCTTACAGAACCGAGGTCTCCTTGGTCAATAAACCAAGATTTATTGCTTTCAAAAAGGACAGAGTTGGGTTTGATCCAGGGGTGGCATTCTACCGGTTCGGACCGGTTCTCTAGAACCGGTTGTTATGATTCTGCGCAGTTCAGAGAATCGGCAAATCGTGCCTCTGATTGGCTCCGCCCCCATCTAGTCTCCGCCTCCCATTGAGTCCCAGCTGATTGGCTGGGTCTCCTTTGGTTGTCCCGCAGAGGAGAACGGAGCTGGAAAGCAGGTTAGTGGGGTGCGGAGGGAAGGGGGATTTTGCAGTATATCCTTCCCCCTGCCACACCCACCAAGCCACGCCCACAGAACCAGTAGTCAAAATTTTTGGGGAAGTCCAGTTTATCTCCTGAAGAAAAAAGCACCTTTGGGCTATTAACTAGGATTGAAACCTTTCAATAGACTCTCTGTGATCGGGGATTTAAATCATGATTTGAACCCAACTCATCGCAGGCACAGGGATGGCTGCTTCCTACCTTTAACCACCTTGGTGTCCGATTTACGCCCAGCGTTGGCCGATGTGCCGATGGGCCCATTCTTGATTTTGTTCTGGGGCTCAGCTCCGATCCCCAGTTTGTGGCTAGGATCCTTGGGGAGATTCACAACTGGACGCGATGTTTCTGCCGGTCTCAGTGCGTCTGCAAAAGCTGGCTTGTTAAAAGGTTTGCTAGCTGGGGGATACTGGGGGTGCAGACCCCGTGAACCAGAGAGGGCAGGAGATGATGGTCTGTGGGAAGGAAAAGACGGTTATCGGCTTCTTGGCTGAGGTAAGAAGAGGCCGAATCTGTGGCCCTTGCAAAGCATGGGAAGCAAGTTCCCAAACTGCCCTTTTCCAGCGTATAAATTTAATAAAGAAGTAAAATTATAATCAACGGACTCCCCATCAAATCAATCCATAAAAGGTAACGTTGCACTTTGGCTAATTCCAGGCTGTGTTGCCACGCCGCAAACACCCCTCTTTGCAAACTTAAATCTGCAATTTAAGAAAACCTAGTTTGTTCTAGTGGTGAAGGCACCAGGCTAGAAAGCAGGAGACGGTAAATTCTAGTCCAGCCTTAGCCATGAAAGCCGGCTGGGTGATTTTGAGTCAATCACCAGGAGACGGTGAGTTCTAGTCTAGTCTAATTCTAGATTTAGTCAGGAAAGCTGCCTGGGTGCCTTGGGCCAATCACCAGGAGACAGTGAGTTCTAGTACCACCTTAACTGTGAAAGCCGGCTGGGTGACTGAGTCAATCATCAGGAGAAGGTGAGTTCTAGTCTAGTCTAATTCTAGATTTAGCCAGGAAAGCTGCCTGGGTGACTTTAAGCTAGTCACTAGGCGAACGTGAATTCTAGTCCCGCCTTAGCCCTAAAAACCAGCTGGGTGACTTTGGGCCAATCACCAGGAGTCGGTGAATTCTAGTTCTGCCTTAACTGTGAAAACCGGTTGGGTGACTCTAAGTCAACCACCAGGAGACAGTGAGTTCTAGTCCCACCTTAGCCATGAAAGCTGCCTGGGGGATATCATTCCATCATTCTCTCTCTTTCTCTCTCTCAGCCCAACCTACCTCACAGGGTGGTTGTTGTGGGAAAAATAGGAAGAGGAAGGCGTGTTGGACATGTTCGCTGCCATGAGTTATTGGTTAAAAAAATAATGTAAGCAAGTAAATGCCACTGGAATACCAAGGCTCACCTGTTGTATGGCAAAGATTGGGGCTCCACAGCGCCAACTCCCCTCGGCTGGTTGGTCGAGGGCTGCGGTACAAGTAAGACCCGCTGAAGGATGCTGCGGGCTTCGTCTTTCTTGCTGTCGCTGCTGCTGCTGCTGCTGATGGGGACCTGAGTTCGAGAGCTGGCACTTTTCTCAGGGGCTTGGGCAGGCAGGATAGGAGAGTTGTGATTTTTCGCCGGTTCAGGTTTTCTCACAGGGAAGGCGGAAGAGCCTGGATCAGCCTGGAAAAACTTCTCCCGCGCCTGTTGGATTCTCGAGCGCACCTCCGTCGAAGAGGAAGCCACGGGGTGCTCTGGTATTGGGGTAGGAGGGTGCAAGCGAGGGAAATTCGGACTTGTGGACCCCCTGATGGTTTTAGGACTCTGGGAATTGGATGGTCCCTGGGCGGTTGGCGGTTGGGGAGTCACATTGTTCTGGAAGATCCGACGTGGTTTGGGCACGGGAGAGGCTGCCTGCGTTGGTTTGAGCCCCTTCCCACCGTTCCCTGCGGGGGTCTTCAAAGGGGCAGTCTTCTTCTCTGTCTGGTTCTCTGGGGCAGGAGGAACCTGAGCGAGGTCATCCCCTGCGTGGCGGTTGCAAAGGAAAGTGCCCGGGCTAAGTCCAGCTTTGTAGTTGCCACTCTGTAAAGTGCTGGAGCATTTTTTGCACCTGGAAGCAAAATCCGGGACAAATCGTAACCATCTAAGAGGGAATCGGCCTCCGGATTCTGGGGAAGGCAAAAAGCGGCCCTCCCGGAAGTTCCAGGAAGCCACGCCCATCATGGCCGTGCCCCCCTAGCAACCGGGCAGCAAACTGGTTGCTGGGATTTTTCAATCCCACCCTTGGTTGAAGTCCACCCATCTTAAAGCAGCCGAGGTGGAGAAACGCAGACTTTAGAGACCACCCAGTCCATTACAGCATCCTTGCCCCTCCCCAAGCCGGACCCCTGAAGCACAACATGGGCTGGGTGGGTCGAGGCCAGTCCCTGACCAAATCCTCCGGAGTCCCCATACCTGAAGCAATTCCTGTGATACAGCTTCCCGTCCATCAGGAGGCGTTGCACCAAGTGGACATGAGTTCCACAAATGGTGCAGTTGCTCAGTTGGGCATTGTTCTTCTCAGCTAAGACCCGTCTCTGGGGGGGGGCGGGGAGGGAGAGAGAAAACAGGAATTCAAAAGGAGTCCCCTCTCCTCCACCAAGCCAAAGACCCTCCCGTGTTTTACTAAGACATTTCTAAGCCGTCCCCTGAGTAGAGCACCCTCTCTGTTCTCTGTACTGATTAGTTTAGCTTCGCATTTGATGACCGGCGGCATCATCCAGCAACTGTATCATCACAATTTGCAACTGTTGGGGTTTTTTTTTGCCAATTTCCAGTTTAAAAAAAAAAAATCCTAAGATACACTCTGTCAACTCGTAAATCATCCCTATGCCTGTTTCCGAGTTGCCATAAGAAGGAGGGTGGCGGGGAAAGGCCAGAGGGAGCCGTGTGGCAGATGAAGGCAGAAGCACATTCCACGCTTATCTTGTGGAGATTGTAGCCTAGGCTACCGGATCTGCTGCCCATGAAAATCCTTCATTGGAGAGTGTGATTGATGACACCTAGCCCGGTTGGGGAATCGGATTTATGACACACCCGGGGGGTGGGGCGAAACAGGGTCATAGGCGATAGTAAATTACGTGTCTCAGAGTTGTCTTCATACGGGTTAATGTTGGACCTGTTGCTCCTAATAAATCTTTTGGATTCTTTTGAAGCTTGGATCGAGGCTCGTGAATTAAATAGGGCAATCGCCGGAACCCTGACACACTCTGTTGATCCGTGGAAGTTCTATTGTGAAATATCCAGCTGTCCTAAACGCAGACACACAGAGAGAATCAGCCACGTACTTCGGCTGCCGGAGAGGTATCCATCGCCAGCCTACGCCCCACCGCAGCTGGCTGTGCTTTGGGTTCAAGAAGAAAAGCTGGCTTGGACGGTTGCGTTGAACTCGGGGCCTTCGGCTCGGGAACCACTTTTTTCTCGGTCGGCTGCTCGCTGGGCTGGGAAGCCGGGCGCTTGATCCCAGCCATCCCTCCAACTGCAGGAAAAGGAACAGAATTGCGATGCCAAGGATGCCCAGGCTCTCATCAGGCATAGAAGAGGCACATCCAGGGCACGACAGGGTATCTTCGTCCAGGAAACTGGCACCAAAGGCCATCTGACTCACTTGCCTTGTATTAGGAAGGCTGATGGTTGCTTGCTGAGATAACCATCTGGGTTTGTTTTTAAATCAAGATTTCTTTTCCCAATTTAAAGAGGCTTTCCTTCCTTCCTCTCTTCCCTCCTTCCTTTCCTTTTTTCCTTCCTTCCCTCTTTTTTCTCCTTCCCTCCCTCCCTTTCCTTGTTCCTCCCTTCCTTTCTTTCCTTCTTTCCTTTTCCTCCTTCCCTCCCTCCCTCTTTCCTTTTTCCCTTTTTCCCTCCTTCCCTCCCTCCCTTCCTCCCTCCTTCCTTCCTTCCCTCTTTTTTCCTTCCTTTCTTTACTTCTTTCCTTTCCTCCTTCTTCTTTCCTTCCTTCCCTCTTTTTTCCTCCTACCCTCCTTCCCTTCCTCCCTCTTTCCTTCTTTCCCTTTTTTCCTCCTTCCCTCCCTCCCTTCCTTCCTCTTTCCTTCTGTCCTTCGTTCCCTTTTTTCCTTCCTCCGTTCCTCCCTCCCTCTTTCCTCCCTTCCCTCTTTTTTCCTCCCTTCTCTTCCTTTCTCCTTTCCTTCCCTCCCTCCTTCTTCTTCCCTTCCTTCCCTCTTTTTTCTCCTTCCTTCCCTTCCTCTCCAACGGTCTCAGCAATGACCATTCCAGTTTTACGGCCCTCTAGTCCTCGGATGCAACACTGCCTCTGCCCATGGAAACGCCATCTCTACCTATCCTGGTTGAGGAGGACCATTCCAGGGCTTATGTCAAGTTGGCCACATCTTGGGTTTTTTTTTGGATTTTTGTTTTTTTGTCCTTGTTTAATCCAAAACCTGGAAGGGAGGGAGCAAGAAAGAGAGAGATACTCACTGGGTGACTTGCCATGGAAGTAATTGTAATATTGGGAGACGTATGTGAGGATGCTCAGCCGGTCGGGCACCCTGAGGGCCACCATATCTTCAGCGTCCAGCAAAGCCGGGATGCCAAGCTCCTTCTCCGCAACTCGGAAAGCCTGTGAGATGCAAACAGAGAAGTTGAGATGAGGCCGTCCTTCTCTTTAACCGAGAGGAGATCCGTGGCCAAAATTATTTTGCAGGACAGTGAAATCCGCGCACACGTTCAAGTCCTGAATAGTCAAGACCTTGTTGATGATCCAAGCTCTGTCAAGGACCTTGGAGTACTCATCCTAATGATCTAAGTGCTAGAGCCCACTGTAACTACATAGCCAAGAAGGCATTAAGAGTTGTTAACCTAATCCTTCGTAGCTTTTTCTCTGGTAATATCACACTACTAACTAGAGCATACAAAACATTTGCTAGACCAATACTCGAATACAGCTCATCAGTCTGGAACCCACATTACGTATCTGATATTAACACAGTTGAGAAAGTCCAGAAATATTTCACAAGAAGAGTTCTCCACTCCTCTACTCGTTGCAGAATACCTTATGCCACCAGACTCGAAATTCTAGACCTAGACAACCTAGAACTACGCCGCCTTCAGTCCGATCTAAATATAGCATATAAAATCATACATTGCAATGTCCTACCTGTCAATGAATACTTCAGCTTCAACCACAACAACACAAGAGCACACAATAGATACAAACTCAAGGTAAACCACATCAAATTGATTGCAGGAAATACGACTTCAGCAATAACAGAGTGGTCAATGTCTGGAATCCTCTACCTGACTCTGTGGTTTCTTCCCCAAACCCCAAAAACTTTAACCTTAGACAGTCTACTATTGACCTCACACACTTCCTAAGAGGCCTGTAGGGGGCGTGCATAAGCACACCATTTCGTGCCTACCGTCCCTGTCCTATGGTTTCTTTTATTTTTCTTATATGTATCCATTTCACGTATTCATAACTATGTTTATACTTATACCTATTATCTTGTAAGCGATTGACAAATCCAATAAATAAAATAAATAAATAAAAATAAACCTTCTCACACCTGGTTTTCACTGCAGGGTTTAACGCCGCCGCCGTTCCATCCACCTTCTCGTCCTCATTAAAAGGGGCGCTTTGGCACAGTCGGAAAAGAATCTCCTTTCCAACCCTGGCTCCAAGGAGTTGCAGACCGGCCAGGCCACGGAAACTCAACGGGGAGGCCCGTCTCCTTCTCCAGGACATTCCATTCCTCCGGCCCTCGACCCACGCACAGAGACTATGGGTGGTCCAGGCCTCCTTCCTTCTCACAAACACATCTGGGAGCCTTTTGCTTCCCCACAACAATCGCCTTTCCCAGGCACTCCGCGCTCCAGGATCTCAGGTTTCCAAAACCAGAGTAAGGAAGGGGGACGGAGGAGGGTCTGATTTCCAGACATGTATTTCAGGAGGCAGCCGTATCCGGACAAGGGAGCCCAACAGACTGGAGAGAAGCCAGGGGTGAAAGGACGGGGAATCTACAGAAATCCAATCTTTGGTTTTTCAAGGAGGACCCTTGGATCATTGGAAATCTGACCTGCTTCTGGGGAGAAGAGCAGAAGGGGATGGAGATGGAGAGATGGTGACGGAGACAGAGATGGAGAGATGTACAGAGAGGGAGGGAGAGGGAAAAACAGGAGATGGGAGAAGAATGGAAGATGATGAGATGGGGATGGAGAAACCGAGGCATCGACCGAGAAAGAAAAAAGGGAGGGAAATGGATAGATGGAAATAAAGAGAGAAAGAAATGGATAGAGAAATAGATGAAGATGGATAAATAGATAGATGGAGGGAGGGAGAGGCAGGGAGAGGGAGAGATATGCATCAAGACTCTCTCCCCTTGTAAAACCTGCATTCAAGAATTTAAACTTCCATAAATCTGTACCTGTATTCGTATCATGTTTCACAACGTTCCCCTCCACCCCAAATTACATCTCTCTCTCTCTCTCTCTCTCTCTATCTATCTATCTCTATCTATCTCTATCTATCTATCTATCATCTCTCTCTCTCTCTCTCTCTCTCTCTCTCTATCTATCTATCTATCTACCTACCTCTCTCTCTCTCTCTCTCAGCAGTTTGTGGGCCACATGGATGGAGCAAGGCTACCCTGCAGAACCACAAAACGCAGGCGCAGAACCCAAGACTAAGCTAGCATAAGTTAAGTCACCAGCCATTGTTCCACCTCAACTTGGTCCGATCCAGATCAATCAGCAACCCCAGCAGCCATGCTGTTGCCAAAATGGGGCTCAGGAGGGCAGCTGCTGTTGGTGCTTTGGGCGGTGCAGACGTTGATCGAAAGGTCCTCAATCCTATAGCACAACTTTCCCTCCGTGCAAATCGAGGGTGCTGGAAATCTTGCCAAACCGGTTTTTCTAGACTCTGCCTTGAACCGAAGGCAAAAGTGAGTCCACTTTCAAGATTAACCCACCAGATCTGCCCCTTATTTGCAAGATTTGACCTCTTCCAGGTAGTCTTTGGGGTTCCCTTCAGGCCTCCAACCTGGAGCCCATCCATATCCATAGTGTCTCAAGGGCCCCAAACCAGATATTTAACCTGCTCCACCAACTCAGCTCATGAACGTTGCAAACAAACAGAAAGGGCCCAGGGAAAAATTGAGTAATTCTATTATTAAGGAAAGTTAAAGGTGTTGAGTATTTGTTTTATGATCTGTTTGTTCTGATCAAATCTACCTGAGGTCAAGGTGCGCGGGAAAAAGAGACGGGAGGGGAAAATGGCCTTGAGGGAAATGAAGAGGAAGTGAAAGAGAAGAAAAAAAAAACACCTTACCAGAGCATTATTCTCAAAGACGTTTTCCTTGCTCAGGGAAGTGAAATCTCTGAAATAGAAAAAAGCAAAAGCAAAAGTTATAGAGAAACAAGTAACAACAAGCCAGGATTCCTTGCTGGACCATGGTGCCTGCCAGGCCAAACTTTCTCCCTAACAGCTCACAAGCCAGCTTTTCCACCATCGAAGCATGCAGCATATTCTTAATTTTAGGATGTTTTCCCCTAACATTCTCCTTGAATCTTCCTTTCCTGGAACTTAGATTCCTTATGATGATGGAAGACAAACTTTGTCAATAAAGACGATTAGGGGGCTGGAGACTAAAACATACGATGGACAGTTGCAGGAACCGGGCATGGCTAGTCTAGGGAAGAGAAGGACCAGGGGAGACAGGAGAGCAGTCTTCCAATATTTGAGGGGCTGCCACAGAGAGGAGGAGGGGGTCAAGCTATTCTCCAAGGCACCCAAAGGCCAGACAAGGAACAACAGATGGAAGGAAAAAAATCCAACCTAGAATTAAGGAGGGATTTCCTGACTGTGAGAACAATGAATCCATTTGCCTCCAGAAGTTGTGGGTGTGTTGTCACTGGAGGCTTTTAAGAGATTGGACAGAAATTTGTTCAGAATGGTCTATGGTTTCCTGCTTGAGCATTGGGTTGGACTAGGAGATCTCTAAGGCCCCTTCCAACTCTGTTATTCTGTAAGTCTGAATGTTTTTGAAGTTGAGACACAACTCAGCAGTCTTTGCAACCACGTGGAAAATTTCTCCTGTAACGATCATGACTCAGTTCAAATATCTGCAGGAATCTACCTGCCCTTACACGGCTATTTAAAAAGAAAAAAGATCCAGTGTCAACTTCTAATTAACAATTTCCACATGCCTGCTGAAGGTTTCTAAGATCCAGATCTACCTTCTGGGAAATCTCATCCATCCACAAAGCAATCAGGGGGTTTGGAAGCTAATTGTACCCATATTCACGGCTGCCTCAAAGGGGTGCTTTTGCGAGTATCCTAAACCCCGTCATGCAGAGAGGAACTGAACTAGCTGGCTTTCTCCCTAGCATGCATTGAGTTATTAAAACCACCTGGAACCCAGAAAAATCCGCCTCCTGTGTCATTACGATCTCCTTGTTGTTAATAGAAGAAAAACTAAAGATCCAACTTCGAAGATTTGGACAATACAGGCTTGTTTGTTTGTTTGTTTGCTGCAACAGCATTCATGCAAATAAAAATTAAACACAGGCTGTGAAGAGGGCAAAAAACAATTCAACAGAATTTAAATCAAATGCCCGCAGGAGGTTTGAACAGTCAGATCTCTTGGGTAACAACCAGGAAGATACACCTGGAAGACGTATGAGAAGGAATTTGGAGGGAATTTCCAGTCTCATTTTTGGCAATGTGAACAAGAAACCTAAAGAGACGGGGAATAAACGTATATATATATTCATGTGTATGTATGTGTGTGTGTGTGTGTGTGTGTGTGTGTGTGTGTGTGTGTATACACACACACACACACACACACACACACACACACACACACACACACGAAAGAACATCTTATGGAATTCTTGGAGCTCCGGATTTTACAGGGAGCCCCAGCCCAAATGTGACTAATATTCTGATTTACAACCATAGTCCCAGACTCAGGGCCGTTCTGCCAATACAGAAAGAGTAAGCCAGCTACTCTTTTGAAAGGAGTTGGCACATTATTTTTATTATGACTTGACAATGAGCCAAGTGGGCCATGAAGTCCTGATTTAAATCTCACATCTGCCAGAAATTCGCCAGAAACAATTTGGAGGATTGACACTGACGCTCCTTCGGTCTCCTAGAACAGGGGTCTCCAACCTTTGCTGGCTGAGGAATTCTGGGAGATGAAGTCCAAAAGTCTTAAAGTTGCCAAAAGTTGGGAGAGCCCTGTTCTAGAACAACCTCAGCTTGCTCCACGTAAGGAAAACCAGGAGAACAGACCTGAAGTTCTTGAGCTCCTTCTTCTACCAACCTCAAGTTGCTTCAGGTAAGGAAAACCCAGGAAAGCAAACTCAACATTCTTGAGCTACTTAGGCACATGCCTGCAACTTCCCAACACCAAGGAGCTGATTATGAAATGGTGACACCCCAACATCCAACAAGTGTTGGCACCACAACATTATCTTCACAACCAGGACTTCTGCTCATTGGAGCTTCAGCCTAGGACAGTGATGACTAATCTTTTCAGCACCAAGCACCAAAGCGCATGCGCCGCACCCAGAAAATGCAACATGTGCATTTGTGCAACATGTGCACGCATGCCCTCTGTGCATGTGCCCCACCCACCCCTTTGCATGTGCATGCACCCCCAGGCATGCATACACAACTCCCACGCATGCACCCTGCCCCTGAGCAGGCATGCATGCCCGTCCAAATGTGCACTGCCCCCTGGGTAGAAATCTGAAGACCAGCTGGCTGGTGAGAGGTGGTGCACACATGCGTGGAGAGGCTGAGCTGGGACGACGGTTCATGTGCCCACAGAGAATGCTGTGTGTGCCATCTCTGGCACGTGTGCCATAGGTTCCCCATCATAGGTTTAGGAGATGTCTGACCTCCAAATGCAGTGTTGCATGGGGCAGCCCAGGGGTGAGATTCTACCAGTTCGCACCTATTTGCTAGAACCTGTTGTTAACATTCTAAGCAGTTCAGAGAACCGGTTGTTAGAAGAAATTACTGGCCTAATCCTGTAAGGAAGGCAGGAAGGAAACATTCTGGTGTTGCTGACAGAAACTGCCTCTCCGTTAACCCTTATTACATTCTTGGCAGGACTAGACTTCCTGTCTCTGGAACGTCTCTGGAGCTTTTCCCCCCTCCTTTGCTGGTACTTTGCTTGTGTGGAGTGACCATTCAAAGTTACAATGGCACTGAAAAAAGTGACTGATGACCATTTTTCACACTTAAAGACTGTTGCAGCTTCCCCACAGTCACGAGAGGCCAGGCGAGGAGATGCGTGCCTCGATGTGAGTGGCCAATAACATGACCACCAAGCCATGTCCACCCAGTCACATGACCACCAAGCCATGCCAACTAAGCCACGCCCACAGAACTGGCTGTTAAAAAATTTGAATCCCACCCCTGGGGCAGCCCCATTGTGCTGAGACCTGAACCGGATGCTGAAAATTCCGCTCCGGTTTGATGCACAGCTCTGGGGAAGACACGAGGGGGGTGGGCTCCCTCCAGCCATGCTCACCCCAGACACGACAGCGATGAGAGTTTAAGGAGAGGAGGGACTCTCCCCTCCCCACTGATCAGCTCCATTCCTCCATTCCACCCTCTCCCTCGCCTGCTTTGCTCACAAACCCCGTCACATCTAAATGTAAACAGCCAACAGTTGTCAGGCCTGTTAGCGGAAGACATCTAAACATCAGCTGGGAGAGGCAGAGCGTTTCCATCCCCGACAAACCCTTGTTTGTTTTAAACCCGCCTTTCCAAGTGTCATTGCAAACATCTGTTCTGAAATAGATGTGTGTGTGTTTTTTATTTTATTATTATTTCAAGACAAAACAAGAAAAAAGGGGCTTCCCAGTTATTTTTCACTGAGCCGAGACAGATTTCCGTGCAGGCAGCGATGGTCTGGAGCACTAAGGACTGGGTGGCCTATCAAGGCAGGGCCCAGAGGTCAAAAACTTCAAGATGGTGCCTGCAAAGCCCATAAAAAGTAGGTGGGACCGTTGTGGCATCCATGTTGAATTTATGGACCTCCTTGGGAGACCCTCCCGAAATCAGGGACAACCACAAAATAACATCAGAAGATCTGAGAAAATTCATTTTTATTCATTTATTCAACATCTAAAGCCACCCAATCAAGAGACTCTGGGCAGCTAATAATTCTAAAATAATAAAACAATTTAAAGATTTTTTAAAAATGCTGGTTGCCCCCTTTACGCTTTGGTTTCCTCTTATTTTCTCCCTTTCCCCCTCTCCATCTTCCCATTTCTGTAAGTTACTAGCTGAAGACAAGCTAGAAAAACTCACCATAGCTGAACCCAAAATTATATAGAAGGTGCCACATTTGATCAACAGGGCAACGGACTTTCTCCAGAATCACATTCTCAACCCAAATATTATGAATTGCATTTTGAAAAGTATCAGCAAGTCATCAGAGTTTAGTTTTCTGCCAACTTTCTAACCTTCCAGAAGTTTCATATGGGAGATACATTTTATTTATTTATATATTAAATTTCTTTGCTGCCTATCTTCCAATCCATCCCCATGTGCAGAAACCTAGCACATCAAGGGAAAACTTTCTGACAGAATTCTGCTGGGGATTTAATTTCATTTTAATCGATTTAGGCCCTGCCCAAGCCAGAGCCAGCTTTTTTTTTTTCCAAAGGTTGTTCTAGATAAGACCCATTCAACCACATCAGCTGTGATTAAATGTTATTTTATGGTGTCTGAGTTTAATGATTTCCCCATTGGTGAAATGTTATGTTCTTTTCCTGTAGTTAATGTGTGTTTTTGTGTTTTGGGTCTGTTTTTTTTTTCTTTTCTCTTATTCCTTTTTTGTATGAGAAAGAAAGAAACAAGAAGAAAAAAGAAAAATGGAAAGAAAGAGAGAGAGAGAGAAAGAAAAAGGAAAGAAAGAAAGAAAAAGGCAGAGAGAGGGAGAGAGAAAAAGAAAGCAGAGTAAGAAAGAAGGAAAGAAAGAGGAAGCAAGGAAGGAAGAAAAAAGAAAGAGACGGAAAGAAGGAGAGAGAGAGAGAGAGAAATGGCTTTCTTAAAGAGATACAAACCAGAGACAAGAATGATAGCTTTGTTCCCAGCGGTCTTAGCCTTCCATAGGGGATGGTCGTTTCTTCACTGGGGTCAGTCACATGGAAGGAAATGACACATATGTATCCAGCCACAGCGAGTTTGCCTGTTGCTCACAAACTCTTGACTCCGTGGTTGCACTGAGAATGACGTCAGATGGTGAAATTCGGTGGGGAAAATTGGGAAATAAATGAGTTTTCTGTCTGGTTCTCATTGCGAAGGGGACCCACGTAGAATGTGTAAAGAAGGGACAAATACTTGCTAGCTCTTTTTAACTGATTTTTAAAATTATTATTTAGGGGAAAATACTATTCCAGATAATGGGTGTTATTATATTGGACTTGGTTCTA